CTCGACAACAGCACCCCTCGCCGCGAGTCACTTCAACCGAACCCGACGTATGCAGCCATCGCTCAAATTGAACCGTCCGGAAAAGACACTTGGTTCTTGGACAGTTGCTGCGGGCAGCATATGTGTTCCTCGGGTCGTTTCGTTCAACGCGAACACCAACTTCAGCGCGAAGTCGTCATTACCATCGCCAACAATCAGAACCTGCGCACACGACGATAGGGCGTAGTGCAGCTTCAGTTACGAGAGACAAACGTCATTATGCAATTGTCAAAGGTTTTAATTGCGGAGGGAATCGGCTACAACTTACTGATTGTTAGTCAGCTGATGGCGAAAGGTATCCACCTCGAAGCAGACAGCACAACCCAAGAGTTCAAGCTGTACCACGGGAGAGGAGGCCTCTACATCGGCAAGGCCGTGCTGAAGAATAACGTGTTTGTTCTCGACTTTGTTCCAAATCTAGGCACCACCGACAGCGACGGAATCGTCACCTTCACCTCCTGGACGCACCCACCGGATCTCAATCCTGACTTCAGCCCCGAAGGTTTCTAGTATTCGCACACCATCCCTGAGGCAGAACGAACAAGAGCATTAGCAACAATTTAACCGGCAGCAGCAGAGACAACATCGGCAGCAGCAGAGACAGCATCGGCACCAATCGCGGGTCCTTCAACTGCACCAACCCCAATCGACGACGACACTTCACCGACTTCTGCGCAGCAACTGAATCCAACACCACGAGAAGTACATCGAAGCGCAAACTTCACCGCAAGCTTCTACTCCAACTCCGACTTGTACCGTCGCTCACCCGAACATCGAGCTGGCGAAGATATCTGGCATGCACGAATGGGACATCCAAGCAACACGGTGTTCAATAACACAATCAGAGCAGGCGTGCTCGACAAAAACTCACTACTTCTAACCGACGGTAGCGAACTTCGTCGAGCTCGCGGAACGTGCTTTACCTGCCCCGAAGCTGACTTACCACATCGGCCGTTCGTTTCTCACCACAACCCGAGCGCACCAGCTTACGCACCACTCGAGAAAGTGTACAGCGGCATCCTGTACAATCGCGAACCTGGACAAGGAGCATACAGCTACACCATCACGTTCATCGATGCCGCCACACGCTACGTTTGGCGCCTCAATCTTCCGAGCAAAGACATGGCTTTCGAGGCTTTCGTCGCCTGGCTCCCAGTAGCAGAACGAGAATCAGGCGTGAAGCTAAAGAGCTTCCAGTCAGACGGAGGAGGAGAATAGACCTCACAGAGGTTCAAGCAGTACTTGGCAGAGAGGGGAATCAAGCGGCTCATCTCCCTTCCCTACGCCCATCAACAACAAGGTGTAGCAGAAAGAATGAACAGGACTCTCCAGAACACCATGCGCAAGCTGCTACGTGACATGCGGCTTCCCAACCACCAATGGCCCGAAGCAATGGACCACGCTGTCATGCTGCACAACTTGCTCTCGTCATCATCGCTCCCGAACAACGCATCACCGCACCTGCTGTGGACAGGAAAACAGGGCAGCACAAAAATGTTAAGAGTTTTTTGCTGCATGGTACAGTACCGACCCCCAGCTGCACGAGCCGGCCGATTCTCCCAACGCGCACAGTGGGGACTACACCTGGGCATTGAAAAGAATTACAACGCGTGGAAGATTTTTTACGTCCACTCAAAGGAAAGAGTAGCAGCACGTGATGTCATTTTCTACGAGCGACTCACACTTCCGACGTACCTTGCCAACCTGGAAGAAGACCGGGACCCCACAGGTGGTTTTCATGGTGACCGAGCCTTCGCCTCGGCAGCAGACGAAGCTGAATGGGACGAGCAGAATGTGGATGAAGCCTCGGAGGAAGCCGGACCTCTCCCTTACTGCTCTGTCGACATCCCAATGGATGACGAAAATCCTCGCGAAAGCGCCAACGCCGAAGTATTTTACCACTTCGCCGACAACGTTTACGTTACACCTGCAAGAGTCAACACCAACGAAGCAGAACGCATAGGGCCCAATTTCATACCTGACCCAGAAGCAGGAGACGAAGCAGCTTATCCCGAGGACACAACACTTCCCCGTTACACACAGAGTGGTCTCCAGATACCCGGCCTCGTCACCGCGGTTCACGGCGCAGCACTTCCTAAGGAGCCTGCCACGGTTCAGCAGGCTCTGGGGGGGGAGTATAGGGAGAAATGGCGCGAAGCCATGGACAGGGAGCTGAAAGCACTGGAGGAACGCAACACTTGGAAAGTTGTTCCCATCAGCGTGGCACAAAACAAGACAATACTCACCGGGAAATTGGGTCTTCCGTGTGAAGACAAAGGCAGACGGCACTATCGACAAGTTCAAGGCGCGCTGGGTCGTACGTGGCTTCGACCAAGAGCACGGATGAAATTTCACCGAGACGTTCGCCCCGGTCAGCCGACACACTTCGCTTCGAATTCTCCTCGCGATCGCCGCCATGAAGAAGAAGAAACTGCGGCAAATTGACGTCGCTAATGCCTTCCTCTATGCACCTGTTGACGCAGAGATCTTCGGCGAACTACCGCACGGCTCAAACGGAGAACCCAACCAAGTCTGTCAGCTACTGAAGTCCCTGTACGGCATCAAACAGGCACCGAGACTGTGGCAGCAGTACCTGCACGCTAGACTCATTCGCATCGGATTCTGTCAGCTACCGCACGACCAGGGCATGTACCGACTCACAAAGGGCAACGACTACATTCTACTCATCGTCTACGTAGACGACCTGCTCTACATCGGCTCGACCGAAGGCGTCATTACCTGGTTCGAAGGGGAGCTGCAGCAAGATCTCACGCTCACGGTCTCGTCCACCATCACGCAATATCTCGGCCTCAACATTCAAGAAGAAGAAGACGCGATCTACCTCGGCGCCGCGAAATATACCGACACTATCGCCAAACGCTTCGGACTCACCCCGATCTCCATCTCCACGCCATACCGCTACACCGCAAGAAATCACAAGGAAGGATCCGCCCCGCTCAAGCCCGCCGGCATACGCGACTACCAAAGAAAGCTGGGATGCCTCCTCTTCGCGGCCGTCACCTGCCGTCCGGACCTATCGTACTCTGCGAGTCAACTCGCCACCAACCTCAAAAGGCCCGAAGCAGAACATATGGCGGAGCTCGACCGCGCTCTTCACTATCTCGTTAGCACTCCGACGATCGGCCTGACCTATCACAAGAACGGAACCTCGACACCTAAGTTAATCAACTACGTCGACGCCGATCACGCCGGCGACTCCGACAACAGACGCTCGCGCACCGGCTACATCTATCGCTTCGAACCTATCGGACCTATCTCGTGGCAGTCGAGCAGGCAGGAGTTAATCGCCCTCTCCTCAGCTGAAGCAGAATATATCGCACTCTGCTCAGCCACCAAGGAAGGACTGTACCTTCGTGAACTCCTGGAGGAAGCGAAGCTGGCTCAATTACCCAGCTTCTCCTTGTTCTGCGACAACCAGTCAGCAATTCGCATAGCCAAGAAAAATGGATTCACGAACAGGACGAAGCACATCGCCCTGCGATATTTCTTCGTAAAGGACGAGATCGAGAAAGGCAGACTCGAACTGTCCTACTGCCCCACATCCGAGATGGCAGCTGACTACTTGACCAAGAAGCTCGGAAAGCAGAAGTTCGAGTACTGCATGCTGCTGACTGGACAGAGCCACGTCACCAACAGCGACACTCCAGAAGCGAAGGGGAGTGTTGGAAACAAGTAATTTAAGCGCCTCTGTCGTGTCGAAGCACTAAGTCGTAAACGAAGCGAAACACAGCGAAGCATCGGCGAGTCAACACTCGGAGGTTGAACAACTGCTGGAGGTTACGCGAAAGTCAAAGGTCAGCGACCTTTGATATGACAAGTACAGCGCGACAGCAAGGACAAACAACTGACTCGTTATTGAGCAGTTGCCCGAGTCGTCACTGTATCGAACCGCAACAGCAATAGCAAAACAGTTCTTAGCTATAACCTTTCATATTCCCTTGTAGTCTTATAAAAGCCTGTATCTCTTTGCTTTAATCAATCTACTTTGCCCTCACATACCAGCGCAAGGTGGTTCACAGACTTGTCATTAAAACGCTTCCGCTATTACATTATTCCTACTCAGAGTTTAGTCCTGCAAAGATCCTAAGGGCTTTTCTCAGCCCAACAACCATTAAGTTGCCGATGTGCTGTCAACCTATCTTTGCAGCGACCCAATTCCATCCATACCATTCCACACTTAGCTGATCATTGGCTACCGGCATTGTGATAAGTGGGCGAGCATAGCCCACACAAGCCTCTCACAACCAAACTTAACATGCAAACACTCAGGCACCTCAGGAACTGACTACTGTATTTAAGTTATACCCAGAATTCTCACAAAAGCTTTTCACCATTCCTGCCAAGCACGGCGTCTGCACTCTTGACCACCAGGCCTCTTGTATGGTACTGTGCCCTTGAATTGACTCGTTGGCACGCTCCTGGCACGTCGGTGTCCCAGTGATTCGAATCTCGCCATCATGGCGAGCCATCCCACCTCGTCCACATGACATCTCCACATGTCTCTCCGCTCCCTCCCCCTCCTCTCTACCCCCCACATGCCCACATGGCTGTCACTCACGCTTCATCATGCTTCCCCTATCGTCTTAGCACACCCCCCCCACATCATGCAACCCTGATCTCACTTTTGTGTCCCCATGGGCCCGCTAGTAAACGAACCTGCCAGCATCGCCCCACCACCTCACACAGCAGCAGCACACGTGCTCGCTAACCCCCATCTCCTCCACTGCACCACCTCGCCACCACTCCTCCTTTCCGCTCATTCCACGCATCAACCCCAGGTGTGGTTTCCCGCAGAGCTGCCCTCACTTGTGCTTCCCTAAACCCTAACCCCACGAGCCCGCTGCTGAAGGAATTTGCAAGCATCGTATCCACCTCCTCACACGCCAGCACCCCACTAACCCAAATCTCCTCGCCAACCCCGCCGATCACACTGATAGCCCTCACTTGTGTTTTCCCACAGGCCCGCTGCTGAAGGAATCTGCAAGCATCGTCTCCACCTCCTCACACGCCAGCACTCGCACGTCCAGCGAGCGCTGGTTGCGCAGAATGTTGCTGAGAATAAGGAGGAAGGGGAGGAGGGAGAGGGAGGGGAGGTGGGCAAGAAGGAAAACGTGGAACAGGCCCACCCCTCACATGCCAGCTCTCACATGTCCAGCGACCACTGGTTGCGCAATATGTTGCTGAGAGGGAGGGAATGATCAGGGGATGAGAGAGGATGGAAAGGGACGACAGGGTCTGGTGTGAGTATCCCCACCTCCTCACACGCCAGCACTCGCATGTCCAGTGAGCGCTGGTTGCGCAGAATGTTGCTGGAGTAGGTAAGGAGTGAGGGGGGGCGGGAGTGGGAGGGGAGAGCGGAGGGAAGCATAGCTTGGAACCAACCCATCTCCTCACATGCCAGCACTCGCACATCCAGGAGCAGAGCAGCGCTGAGATGATTACGGGGTATTTGGAGCAAGAGAGATTGTCGAAAACCCTAACCCCCTCCCTCACCTGCACGATGACTATGGGGTATTTGTCAAGCGAGGCAGAGAGTTTCTTTGCCTTGACATGCCCACCCTCATAACCCCGACACTGACACTCCTCACCCTGACAGGACAGCCCATCTGCGCTGACAACACACCCATCCTCACAGCCCACCCACCAATGCCGGACTTGACAAGCAGACCCAAGAGAGTCTTGGCCTTGACATGCCATGCATGACACAAGACTAGCGAAGCGACCCATCGCAATGTACGGAAAATGACAACCCCAAGGCTCACATGCCAACCAACCCCTTGCTCACCCGTGTCGGATAATGAACTCGCGGTATTTGTCCAGCAGGCCTGAGAGGGTCTTGGCCTTGACGTGCCATATGATGCCAGAAGAGTAGATACTCACAGCGGTACAAGAACAGCAGAAACCCACACCCTGGCAACCCACCCTCACATCACAGTCCACTCACCCGTGTCGAATGATGAACTCGTGGTATTTGTCCAGCAGGCCTGAGAGGGTCTTGGCCTTGACGTGCCATATGATGCCAGAAGAGTAGATACTCACAGCGGTACAAGAACAGCAGAAACCCACACCCTGGCAACCCACCCACCCACCCACCCACCCTCACATCACAGTCCACTCACCCGTGTCGAATGATGAACTCGCGGTATTTGTCCAGCAGGCCTGAGAGGGTCTTGGCCTTGACGTGCCATATGATGCCAGAAGAGTAGATACTCACAGTGGAACAAGAACAGCAGAAACCCACACCCTGGCAACCCACCCACCCACCCACCCACCCTCACATCACAGTCCACTCACCCGTGTCGAATGATGAACTCGCGGTATTTGTCCAGCAGGCCTGAGAGGGTCTTAGGCCTTGACGTGCCATATGATGCCAGAAGAGTAGATACTCACAGCGGTACAAGAACAGCAGAAACCCACACCCTGGCAACCCACCCACCCACCCACCCACCCACCCTCACATCACAGTCCACTCACCCGTGTCGAATGATGAACTCGCGGTATTTGTCCAGCAGGCCTGAGAGGGTCTTGGCCTTGACGTGCCATATGATGCCAGAAGAGTAGATACTCATAGCGGTACAAGAACAGCAGAAACCCACACCCTGGCAACCCACCCACCCACCCACCCACCCTCACATCACAGTCCACTCACCCGTGTCGAATGATGAACTCGCGGTATTTGTCCAGCAGGCCTGAGAGGGTCTTGGCCTTGACGTGTGCGCGCAGCTCGCGATTGGTGATGGTCCATGCCATGTGGCGCTGCCTCATTTGCTCCAGGATGATGTTGAACGTCTTGAGGCTGGCAGGGAGGGAGACAGCGGTGGAGATGGGTGCAGAGGGATAAGGAAGGGCAAGACGTGATTGGTGATGGTCCACGCCATGTGGCGCTGCCTCATTTGCTCGAGAACTATGTTGAACGTCTTGAGGCTAGGCAGGGAGGGAGAGAGCAGTGGAGATGGGTGCAGAGGGATAAGGCAGGGCAAGGCATGGTTGAGGGTGGTCCATGCCATGTGGCACGGCCTCATTTGCTTGAGAATGATGTTGAACGTCTTGAGGCTGGCAGGAGGAGATGCGAGCATGAGACGAGGAGTATAATCCTGAGGTGCCTAAAAGGCATGTCCCGTGCATGCATGCCATGCCATGTGCATCCCATCCCATGTGCATCCAATGTGCACACCAAGTGCATCCCATGTGCATCCCATGTGTATCTCATGTGCACACCAAGTGCATCCCATGTGCATCCCATGTGTATCTCATGTGCACACCAAGTGCATCCCATGTGCATCCCATGTGTATCTCATGTGCACACCATGTGCATCCCATCCCATGTGCATCCCATGTGCACACCAAGTGCACGCCATGTGCATGACAGGTGCACGCCAAAAGGAAGGTACATTTGAGAAGAGCATCAAGGCATCATACAGCAGGTCAAACAGGAACCTCTTGAACACGCCTACGGACTGATCTCGTCAGAATGATGTCAAGCACGCAACTCTTGAACAACAGCACTCACCGCTTGATGAGGGAGGCGGAGTCCAAACGCTCATGTGAGTTTTTAGAAGTCTCAAAGCTGTGCAAATAAGAAGAGCGTCATGCATGCGACTCTTGAACAACAGCACTCACCGCTTAACGAGGGAGGCGGAATCCAGACGGTCATGTGAGCCTTGAGACATCTCAAAGCTGTGCAAATAACAAGTGCGTCATGCATGCGACTCTTGAACAACAGCACTCACCGCTTGACGAGGGAGGCGGAGTCCAGACGGTCATCTGAGGAGAACACCACGTCGAACTGCGATGGCGGCAGGGAGCAGGGGAGAGAGGGAGGGAGGGAGGGAGGGGGAGGCCATCGGGGGAGCAGGAGAGGGGGAAGATGGAACAAGGAGCAGTGAAGGGCGGGGAGGCGGAGTCCAGACAGTCATCTGAGGAGAACACCACGTCGAACTGCGATGGGAGGAGAGTGGAGCAGAGAGGAAATGGAGGGGAGGGGGAGGGGGAGGGGGAGGGGGAGGGGGAAGGGGAGGGGGAGGGGGAAGGGGAGGTAGAGCAAGACAGGGTCAGACGGAACATGGAGCTGTGAAGGGCCGAGACAGAAGAGTCGAGACGCTCATCTGAGAATGTTTTTTGAGAATTCTCAAAAAAGAAGAGTGCCACATCGAACTGAAGAGACAAGGGGGGAGAGCGGAGGGGAGGAGAGGGAATGGCGGTGCAGGAGAATGAGCAGTGAAGGGTGGAAAGGGAAGTTGAAACGGTCGTCTGAGGGGAATACCACGTCAAAGTGAGGAGACGAAGAGGGAAAGCGGAGGGGAGGGGAGGGGATGGGGGAGCGGGAAGGAAGGGTAACAGGAGGGAGAGCAGGAGAGGAAAAAGGAGGTAACACAGGAAGCAGTGAAGGGAAGAGAGAGAAAGGTTTGAGAGGGCAATTGAAGGGAAGGTACCATGTTGAAGTGGGATGGAGGGAGAAAGAGCGCGGGAGGGTGGGGGGAGGAGGAGAAGGAGGGAGAACAGAAGAAGGGGCAGAGGGAACAGGTGAGCTACAAGGATCGGAAACATTGAGCAAAGGAGAGTAGGGGGTCATCTCATCAAGCAAGTCCAGATTCGAGAGACCCTATTCTGATTGGTGCGTACCTTAGCGAGTGTGTGCATGATGAATTTGTCCCTGTGATTGTCCACCATCGCTCCATATGTGCCGATCCATGCCGTACCAAGCAGCCGCCCGGCATCAGACCTGGAGGATTGACAGCAAGGGCAAAGCAGTTGGGGAAGGTAGTCAGTGCATTTAAGAGTTGGTAAGAACGGGTAGAAGGGGCAAAATAACAGCATACACACAGACAAGCTCTCACGCACACACGCACACGCGCGCGCGCGCACACACACACACACACACTCACGCATCAATCTCAGTGAGCACGTATGCCAGGTTGTTCATTCAACGTGAAGAGCTCTGCCAGTGTCTCGTCTCGACTCATGCTCATGTCTAGCACTCGCACACACACATACACACGAACACTCGACTCACACGCACACTCTCTCACACCCACACACACACTCACGCATCAATCTTAGTGAGCACGTAGGCGAGGTTGTTCATCATGAAAAGCTCCGCCAGCGTTTCGTCTCGTAGCACCACCGCCCGCTGCCCGAGGTTCGTCTTTAGTGCGTCCACGATGCGGGCGGCGGCGAAGGCCAGCCGGCCCTGCACACGTGGCGTCACGATACTGGCTGCTGAGTCGCTGGCGTTGCTGACCATATCCTCAAACACGCACTCGAGTATTTGGAAATAGGGCAACTCGCTGTGGCGGTTGGGGGGGGGGGGTGTCAGACATGTGGAGAGTGGGAGGATGGGAGAGAGGGAGAGAGGGGAGGGGTTGCTGACCATGTCATCAACGGCGCACTCGAGTCTTTGAAAGTAGGGCAGCTTGTTGTGGGGGTGAGGGGAGTGAAGGGGGTTAAATAAAAAACAAAAACAGTGGGTTAAGAGTGCGGCGCGCGGGGCATGAGAGTGGGAGAGGAGAGCGAGAGGGGTGTGGTGTGAGAGTGGGAGAGCGAGAGGGACAGGGAGAGGAAGAGGGAGAAGCGGAACCCACCCACACAAAACTGTTGCAGAGCAAAAGCATGTAACTGACGACGTAGCTCGTGATTGGGTGGATGTTCCCTGTGAAGTGAATTGAACCACTTAGTACCACCACCCCACCCCACTCCACCTCTATGCACTCATCCCCACCCCACTCCACCTCTCTCCACCCATCCCCACCCCACTCTGCCTCAATGGACCCATCCCCACCTGTTGCAGAGCAGCAGCAGGTAGTTGACCACGTAGCTCGTGATTGGGTGGATGTCCCCTGTGGAGTGGGCGGCAGCTGCTGACGTGGACGTCATCGACGCCACCTCACTCGCTGAGTCATCGCCCTTGTGCATCATCCTGTCAGAAGATGTGGGGGCAGGGCGGGCGGGCGTGGCAGTGAGTGTCAGTAGTGTGGTGGGCATCATTCACGTCATTCACATGACGCCACCTCACTTGCTGAGTCATCGCCCTTGTGCAACATCCTGTCAGAAGAAGTGTGTGTGGGGTGGGGGGGGACGGAGGAGGGGAGTGGGTGGGCGTGGCAGTGAGTGTCAGTAGTGTGGTGGGTGTCATTCACATGACGCCACCTCACTTGCTGAGTCATCGCCCTTGTGCGTCATCCTGGCAGAATTGGAGGGAAAAGGGTGCGGGATGAAAAGGTGGGGCATGGAAGAAAGAGGGGAAGGGCGAGGAGGAGGGAGGGTGGACGAGCGAGGAAGGTGAGAGATCCATTAATGCCACCCCTCTCGCTGAGTTGTCACCCTTGTGCGTGAATCATCCTGGCAGGGTGGAAGCGGAGGGGAAGGGCAAGGGAGGAAGAGGAGGGGAACGGAAGAATGAGAAGAAGGGCGAGGAGGAGGGAGAATGGACGAGGGAGGAACGGAAAAAGAGAGTCACCAATGCCACCTTGCTCGCTGAGACCCTACGCAGTCCCTGCAGTGCCCAAAGCAACTCAAACCACCCTTTCCCCCAACCCACCCCTCCACGCAGCTCACTCCGTCCGAACCCTCCGAACCCTCCCACTCTCGCTAACAGTGAGGCTGGCAAGAGCTGGGTACCAAAACCCCTGCCCCCCTCCCTCCCGCCCCCACGGGCCCCACCCACTCCCCACTCACTTCTTCAGCCGGCCCAGAAGCCCCCCTCCGCGCAGCTCACTCCGCCCGAACCCTCCTCCTCTCCCGCTCTCGCTCGCAGTAGGGCTGGCAAGAGCCGGGTACCCCCCTCCTCCTCCCGGCCCACCCTCCTCTGGCGTCGGCGGTGCCTTCACAGCCTCTTCAAACTTCTCAAATGTCGCCCTCGCTGCTTGCCCGAGGGTCTTGAGAAGGTGCTGGTACTCCCTCCGCATCATCTCGCCCTCAGGTCCTTTAAATAGCTCGTCCACCTGCAAGTTTCAGTGGGGAGATTGTGCAGGCAGAGAGGGGAAAGGGAAGGAATACAGGGGCGGATGGGTAGAGAAAGGGGAGGAATGACACAGAGGGGGATAGAGGGGCACAGATGAGCAAGGGGGGAACACATGTGCCTTCACGGCCTGGCTGCTCATGTTCAAACTTCTCAAACGTCACTCTGGCTGCTTGCCCAAGGGTTTTGAGAAGGTGCTTGTGCTCCCTCCGCATCATCTCCCCTTCAGGCCCCTTGAATAGCTCGTCAACCTGCGAGTGTCAGTGGGAGAGGGGTAAAGGTAGCAGGGGGGAGAGGAAGGAGAAACGAGGGGAAAGGGGGGAAACAGGAGGAACGGGGGCAGACAGGGTGAGAGGAGGGAACACAGGTGCCTTCACCGCCTCTTCAAACTTGTCAAACGTCGCTCTGGCCGCTTGCCCAAGGGTTTTCAGAAGGTGCTGGCACTCCCGCCCGCCGCATCATCTCCCCTTCAGGCCCCTTGAATAGCTCGTCCACCTGCGAGTGTGACGTGAGTGGGGAGTATGTGAGGTGAGGGCAGAGCGGGAAAGATGAAGGAGCACAAGGGCAGACGGAAAGACAGAGGGAAAGAGGGGCAGGAGAGCGATAAGCCCGAGGGTCTTGAGAAGGTGCTGGCACTCCCGCCCGCCGCATCATCTCCCCCTCGGGCCCCCTTGAATAGCTCGTCCACCTGCGAGGTGTTGCAGGGAGGGCCATAGAGGGGCAGTGATAAGGAAGGAAGGAAGGAAGGAAGGAAGGAAGGAAGGAAGGAAGGAAGGAAGGAAGGAAGGAAAGGAGGAAAGATGGGCGCCTTCGCAGTCTCCCCAGGCATCTCAAACGTCGCCCTGGCTGCTTGTCCGAGGGTCTCTAGCCTTGGGACCTGAAGGGGCTGTTCTAGGGTCTTCATCTCCCCCTTGGGCCTCTTGAACAACCCCTTAAGGTCGGGCGTTGTCTTGTAATCTCGAGGAAAGGGGTTGTTCAAGGGGCTGTTCTGTGCTCATGAAGAAGAGCAGCAGTAGGCAAGGTCGCTTTTGTTCAAGGGGTTGAGGGGTTGAGGAGCCGTTCGGGCGGGCGTCTTCTTGATCTCGTGCGTGGAAGCAACATCATTGACTAGCGTTGACTTGACTACCATTGACTTGAGTCAGCACAGCACATACCGTGCACTTGAGGTCGAGCGTCGTCTCGTACATATCCAGGAAGGAGAACAGTCGTTCGGGCGTCTTTTTAATCTCGCTCACGGCCTCGCCAAAGCCAGCGAGCAGCAGCATGGAGGAGCAGCAGCAACATTGACTGGCGTTGACTGGCATTGACTGGCGTTGAATTGAGTCAGCAGAGCACGTACCGTGCACTTTAGGTCGAGCGTCGTCTCGTACATATCCAGGAAGGAGAAGAGGCGTTCGGGCGTCTTTTTTATCTCGCTCACGGCCTCGCCAAAGCCGGTGAGCAGTGGGGTGGTGGGGGAAGAGGGGCTGTGACCTAAAAAGGAGCACAGCCCCACTGGGGTCAGTATGTGTATGTGCTGCCTCACATACCGTGCACTTGAGGTCGAGAGTCGTCTCGTACATGTCCAGGAACGAGAACAGGCGTTCGGGCGTCTTTTTTATCTCGCTCACGGCCTCGCCAAAGCCGGCGAGAAGCAGCATGGAGGAGCGCGAGAGGTCCACAAAGCACTGCTCGCCGTAGGGGCCCAGCCCGTCAAACACCTCGTCACACGCCTCCCTCTCCCCCGCCACCAGAATCATCTGGCGTGTGGTTGTGGGGGGGGGGCGGGTACGAGGGAGGATTGAGGGGGAAGAGGGGGGAAGGTGGGGAAGGGGAGGTCCAGCCCATCAAACACCTCGTCACACGCCTCTCTCTCCCCCGCCACCAGAATCATCTGGTAGGGGTGGGGGGTTGCGGAGGGAGGTGGGGAGAGTGGGTCAGGGATGGGAGGGGGGAGGGGGAGTCAGAGGGAAGAGAAAGGGTGGTTGATTGAGAATTAGCTCCCCTCGCCGCACGGGTCCAGCCCGTCAAACACCTCGTCACACGCCTCCCTCTCCCCCGCCACCAGAATCATCGGGTGTGAGGGTGGGTCTGAGGGGGGGCCGGGGGCAGGAACGAGAGGGGAGCGAAGAGGAAGGGAGCAGGGAAGTGGGGAAGAGGGAATTGGAGAGGAAGAAGGACCTCCACTGTGCATGTGTTTCCCCTCCCCCCTCACCACTCACCCCCAATGTGCATGTGTTTCCCCCCCCCCCCTCACCACTCACCCCAATGTGCATGTGTTTCCCCTCCCCCCTCACCACTCACCCCAATGTGCATGTGTTTCCCCTCCCCCCTCACCACTCACCCCGATGTGCATGTGTTTCCCCTCCCCCCTCACCACTCACCCCAATGTGCATGTGTTTCCCCTCCCCCCTCACCACTCACCCCAATGTGCATGTGTTTCCCCTCCCCCCTCACCACTCACCCCGATGTGCATGTGTTTCCCCTCCCCCCTCACCACTCACCCCAATGTGCATGTGTTTCCCCTCCCCCCTCACCACTCACCCCAATGTGCATGTGTTTCCCCTCCCCCCTCACCACTCACCCCAATGTGCATGTGTTTCCCCTCCCCCCTCACCACTCACCCCAATGTGCATGTGTTTCCCCTCCCCCCTCACCACTCACCCCGATGTGCATGTGTTTCCCCTCCCCCCTCACCACTCACCCCAATGTGCATGTGTTTCCCCTCCCCCCTCACCACTCACCCCAATGTGCATGTGTTTCCCCTCCCCCCTCACCACTCACCCCAATGTGCATGTGTTTCCCCTCCCCCCTCACCACTCACCCCGATGTGCATGTGTTTCCCCTCCCCCCTCACCACTCACCCCGATGTGCATGTGTTTCCCCTCCCCCCTCACCACTCACCCCAATGTGCATGTGTTTCCCCTCCCCCCTCACCACTCACCCCAATGTGCATGTGTTTCCCCTCCCCCCTCACCACTCACCCCAATGTGCATGTGTTTCCCCTCCCCCCTCACCACTCACCCCAATGTGCATGTGTTTCCCCTCCCCCCTCACCACTCACCCCAATGTGCATGTGTTTCCCCTCCCCCCTCACCACTCACCCCAATGTGCATGTGTTTCCCCTCCCCCCTCACCACTCACCCCAATGTGCATGTGTTTCCCCTCCCCCCTCACCACTCACCCCAATGTGCATGTGTTTCCCCTCCCCCCTCACCACTCACCCCAATGTGCATGTGTTTCCCCTCCCCCCTCACCACTCACCCCAATGTGCATGTGTTTCCCCTCCCCCCTCACCACTCACCCCAATGTGCATGTGTTTCCCCTCCCCCCTCACCACTCACCCCAATGTGCATGTGTTTCCCCTCCCCCCTCACCACTCACCCCAATGTGCATGTGTTTCCCCTCCCCCCTCACCACTCACCCCAATGTGCATGTGTTTCCCCTCCCCCCTCACCACTCACCCCAATGTGCATGTGTTTCCCCTCCCCCCTCACCACTCACCCCAATGTGCATGTGTTTCCCCTCCCCCCTCACCACTCACCCCGATGTGCATGTGTTTCCCCTCCCCCCTCACCACTCACCCCAATGTGCATGTGTTTCCCCTCCCCCCTCACCACTCACCCCAATGTGCATGTGTTTCCCCTCCCCCCTCACCACTCACCCCAATGTGCATGTGTTTCCCCTCCCCCCTCACCACTCACCCCAATGTGCATGTGTTTCCCCTCCCCCCTCACCACTCACCCCGATGTGCATGTGTTTCCCCTCCCCCCTCACCACTCACCCCAATGTGCATGTGTTTCCCCTCCCCCCTCACCACTCACCCCAATGTGCATGTGTTTCCCCTCCCCCCTCACCACTCACCCCAATGTGCATGTGTTTCCCCTCCCCCCTCACCACTCACCCCAATGTGCATGTGTTTCCCCTCCCCCCTCACCACTCACCCCAATGTGCATGTGTTTCCCCTCCCCCCTCACCACTCACCCCAATGTGCATGTGTTTCCCCTCCCCCCTCACCACTCACCCCGATGTGCATGTGTTTCCCCTCCCCCCTCACCACTCACCCCAATGTGCATGTGTTTCCCCTCCCCCCTCACCACTCACCCCAATGTGCATGTGTTTCCCCTCCCCCCTCACCACTCACCCCAATGTGCATGTGTTTCCCCTCCCCCCTCACCACTCACCCCAATGTGCATGTGTTTCCCCTCCCCCCTCACCACTCACCCCGATGTGCATGTGTTTCCCCTCCCCCCTCACCACTCACCCCAATGTGCATGTGTTTCCCCTCCCCCCTCACCACTCACCCCAATGTGCATGTGTTTCCCCTCCCCCCTCACCACTCACCCCAATGTGCATGTGTTTCCCCTCCCCCCTCACCACTCACCCCAATGTGCATGTGTTTCCCCTCCCCCCTCACCACTCACCCCAATGTGCATGTGTTTCCCCTCCCCCCTCACCACTCACCCCAATGTGCATGTGTTTCCCCTCCCCCCTCACCACTCACCCCAATGTGCATGTGTTTCCCCTCCCCCCTCACCACTCACCCCAATGTGCATGTGTTTCCCCTCCCCCCTCACCACTCACCCCAATGTGCATGTGTTTCCCCTCCCCCCTCACCACTCACCCCAATGTGCATGTGTTTCCCCTCCCCCCTCACCACTCACCCCAATGTGCATGTGTTTCCCCTCCCCCCTCACCACTCACCCCAATGTGCATGTGTTTCCCCTCCCCCCTCACCACTCACCCCAATGTGCATGTGTTTCCCCTCCCCCCTCACCACTCACCCCAATGTGCATGTGTTTCCCCTCCCCCCTCACCACTCACCCCAATGTGCATGTGTTTCCCCTCCCCCCTCACCACTCACCCCAATGTGCATGTGTTTCCCCTCCCCCCTCACCACTCACCCCAATGTGCATGTGTTTCCCCTCCCCCCTCACCACTCACCCCAATGTGCATGTGTTTCCCCTCCCCCCTCACCACTCACCCCAATGTGCATGTGTTTCCCCTCCCCCCTCACCACTCACCCCAATGTGCATGTGTTTCCCCTCCCCCCTCACCACTCACCCCAATGTGCATGTGTTTCCCCTCCCCCCCTCACCACTCACCCCAATGTGCATGTGTTTCCCCTCCCCCCTCACCACTCACCCCAATGTGCATGTGTTTCCCCTCCCCCCTCACCACTCACCCCAATGTGCATGTGTTTCCCCTCCCCCCTCACCACTCACCCCAATGTGCATGTGTTTCCCCTCCCCCCTCACCACTCACCCCAATGTGCATGTGTTTCCCCTCCCCCCTCACCACTCACCCCAATGTGCATGTGTTTCCCCTCCCCCCTCACCACTCACCCCAATGTGCATGTGTTTCCCCTCCCCCCTCACCACTCACCCCAATGTGCATGTGTTTCCCCTCCCCCCTCACCACTCACCCCAATGTGCATGTGTTTCCCCTCCCCCCTCACCACTCACCCCAATGTGCATGTGTTTCCCCTCCCCCCTCACCACTCACCCCAATGTGCATGTGTTTCCCCTCCCCCCTCACCACTCACCCCAATGTGCATGTGTTTCCCCTCCCCCCTCACCACTCACCCCAATGTGCATGTGTTTCCCCTCCCCCCTCACCACTCACCCCAATGTGCATGTGTTTCCCCTCCCCCCTCACCACTCACCCCAATGTGCATGTGTTTCCCCTCCCCCCTCACCACTCACCCCAATGTGCATGTGTTTCCCCTCCCCCCTCACCACTCACCCCAATGTGCATGTGTTTCCCCTCCCCCCTCACCACTCACCCCAATGTGCATGTGTTTCCCCTCCCCCCTCACCACTCACCCCAATGTGCATGTGTTTCCCCTCCCCCCTCACCACTCACCCCAATGTGCATGTGTTTCCCCTCCCCCCTCACCACTCACCCCAATGTGCATGTGTTTCCCCTCCCCCCTCACCACTCACCCCAATGTGCATGTGTTTCCCCTCCCCCCTCACCACTCACCCCAATGTGCATGTGTTTCCCCTCCCCCCTCACCACTCACCCCAATGTGCATGTGTTTCCCCTCCCCCCTCACCACTCACCCCAATGTGCATGTGTTTCCCCTCCCCCCTCACCACTCACCCCAATGTGCATGTGTTTCCCCTCCCCCCTCACCACTCACCCCAATGTGCATGTGTTTCCCCTCCCCCCTCACCACTCACCCCAATGTGCATGTGTTTCCCCTCCCCCCTCACCACTCACCCCAATGTGCATGTGTTTCCCCTCCCCCCTCACCACTCACCCCAATGTGCATGTGTTTCCCCTCCCCCCTCACCACTCACCCCAATGTGCATGTGTTTCCCCTCCCCCCTCACCACTCACCCCAATGTGCATGTGTTTCCCCTCCCCCCTCACCACTCACCCCAATGTGCATGTGTTTCCCCTCCCCCCTCACCACTCACCCCAATGTGCATGTGTTTCCCCTCCCCCCTCACCACTCACCCCAATGTGCATGTGTTTCCCCTCCCCCCTCACCACTCACCCCAATGTGCATGTGTTTCCCCTCCCCCCTCACCACTCACCCCAATGTGCATGTGTTTCCCCTCCCCCCTCACCACTCACCCCAATGTGCATGTGTTTCCCCTCCCCCCTCACCACTCACCCCAATGTGCATGTGTTTCCCCTCCCCCCTCACCACTCACCCCAATGTGCATGTGTTTCCCCTCCCCCCTCACCACTCACCCCAATGTGCATGTGTTTCCCCTCCCCCCTCACCACTCACCCCAATGTGCATGTGTTTCCCCTCCCCCCTCACCACTCACCCCAATGTGCATGTGTTTCCCCTCCCCCCTCACCACTCACCCCAATGTGCATGTGTTTCCCCTCCCCCCTCACCACTCACCCCAATGTGCATGTGTTTCCCCTCCCCCCTCACCACTCACCCCAATGTGCATGTGTTTCCCCTCCCCCCTCACCACTCACCCCAATGTGCATGTGTTTCCCCTCCCCCCTCACCACTCACCCCAATGTGCATGTGTTTCCCCTCCCCCCTCACCACTCACCCCAATGTGCATGTGTTTCCCCTCCCCCCTCACCACTCACCCCAATGTGCATGTGTTTCCCCTCCCCCCTCACCACTCACCCCAATGTGCATGTGTTTCCCCTCCCCCCTCACCACTCACCCCAATGTGCATGTGTTTCCCCTCCCCCCTCACCACTCACCCCAATGTGCATGTGTTTCCCCTCCCCCCTCACCACTCACCCCAATGTGCATGTGTTTCCCCTCCCCCCTCACCACTCACCCCAATGTGCATGTGTTTCCCCTCCCCCCTCACCACTCACCCCAATGTGCATGTGTTTCCCCTCCCCCCTCACCACTCACCCCAATGTGCATGTGTTTCCCCTCCCCCCTCACCACTCACCCCAATGTGCATGTGTTTCCCCTCCCCCCTCACCACTCACCCCAATGTGCATGTGTTTCCCCTCCCCCCTCACCACTCACCCCAATGTGCATGTGTTTCCCCTCCCCCCTCACCACTCACCCCAATGTGCATGTGTTTCCCCTCCCCCCTCACCACTCACCCCAATGTGCATGTGTTTCCCCTCCCCCCTCACCACTCACCCCAATGTGCATGTGTTTCCCCTCCCCCCTCACCACTCACCCCAATGTGCATGTGTTTCCCCTCCCCCCTCACCACTCACCCCAATGTGCATGTGTTTCCCCTCCCCCCTCACCACTCACCCCAATGTGCATGTGTTTCCCCTCCCCCCTCACCACTCACCCCAATGTGCATGTGTTTCCCCTCCCCCCTCACCACTCACCCCAATGTGCATGTGTTCACTCCACCGCCTCATCCGTTCCTCCAGCTGAGGCCACGGCGTGCTGTGGATCTCCGCCTTGGTCATCGTCTGCACGCCCAGCCGCTGAAAGTTCCTCCTCAACGCTGCCTCTCTTTTCTCCCTGTTGGCAAGGCAGACATACAAAGGAACGAGGGGAGAGGGGAAGGAGCTGTTATGGTGCTGTGGATCTCCGCCTTGGTCATCGTCTGCACGCCCAGCCGCTGAAAGTTCCTCCTTAGTGCCGCTTCCCGCTTCTCCCTGATTGCAGGACACACAGACAAAGGAACCGAGGGAAAAGGGGAGGGTGCTCATATGCTGCTGAGGCTCTCCACTGAGGCTCCCCACTGAGGCTCCCCACTGAGGCTCCCCACTGAGGCTCCCCACTGAGGCTCCCCACTGAGGCTCCCCACTGAGGCTCCCCACTGAGGCTCCCCACTGAGGCTCCCCACTGAGGCTCCCCACTGAGGCTCTCCACTGAGGCTCCCCACTGAGGCTCCCCACTGAGGCTCCCCACTGAGGCTCCCCACTGAGGCTCTCCACTGAGGCTCTCCGCATTGGTCATCGGCTGCATGGCCAGCTGCTGGGATTTCCTCCTCAATGCGGCCTCTCGTTGCTCCCTGTTGGTTTGCAGGTCATGAAAACCAAGGGGGAAAGTTAGGGGGGCCTTTGGGGTGCAGTGGTGTGGATCCCCCCCTTTGGTTCTGTCCGCCATTAGGAAGCCAACAACCAACAGCCACAAAACCAACAGGCACACAACCAGCCGGCACACAACCAACAGGCACACAACCAGCCGGCACACAACCAACAGGCACACAACCAGCCGGCACACAACCAGCAGGCACACAACCAGCCGGCACACAACCAACAGGCACACAACCAACAGGCACACAACCAACAGGCACACAACCAACAGCCACACAACCAACAGCCACACAACCACACAACCACTTCTATAGCTCTCCAGAGTTTTTCCACACCCCCTTCTCCGCCTCCACTCCCCATCCCTCTCCCTCCTCCCCCTTTCTCTCCCCCTCCTCTCTCCGTCCTCTCCCTCCTCTCCCTCCTCGCCCCCTTCTCTCCCCCTCATCTCCCCATCCTCTCTCTCCCTTTCCTCCCCTCCAAACACACACACCCAGAGCCTACTTGTAAGCGCGAGTGCAGTCGGTCGCACATCGCGCTTACAAGCCATGGAGTGCATCCTTGGTTTCCCTCCCTCCCCAGCCAATACCCACCTGCTACCTCCACCACCCCACCCCTTCCACCGCTCCCACCACCCCCACCCCCGTCCAATCCCTCCCCCCCCCCAGCACACACACCCAGTGCCTACTTGTAAGCGCGAGTGCAGTCGGACGCACATCCGTTCTCCACCAGCCGCCGAGCCATGGCGTGTGTCTCCCTGCTGTTCCCTCTCCTCCCAACCAGCACCCACCTGCTACTTCCCACACCCCATCCTCGCCACCCTTCCCCACCCTTCCCCACCACCCCCACTCCCTTCAATCCCCCCGCACACACCCAGAGCCTACTTGTAAGCACGAGTGCAGTCGGTCGCGCAACTGTTCTCCACAAGCCGCCGAGCCATGGCGTGCAGCTTCGGCAGCGCAGCCTCGGCAATCATCTCAGGGGGCGTGATCTGGTCCGGCGACTCCTCCGACAGCATCGCCTCCCGAAGCTCGTCCAGGTCTGGAAAGAGGCTGGAGGGGGAGGAGGGGAGAGGAGGGAGGGGAGGGGGGGGGGGAGGGGAGGGGGTGGGTGTGAGGGGGAGTGGGTGGGTTGGGACGATTGGTGAGGGATTGATGGGGGATTGATGGGGGATTGGCGGCAAGGGAAGCACAGAGACGCAGAGGCACATGGGATGTGCAGCCTCCCGTGCTATATGCCATGCCGACATCGACTGGAAGGTCTTCAAGCTGTCAAGGATAGAAAGCTAGACCTAACCTTGGAGACTTCTGAATCAACCCAACCCAGCAGTCACCTTGTCTCGTTGTCTCCCGTCCTGTTTGCCAACATTGATTAGAAGGTACTCAAGCTGTCAAGGATAGAAAGCTAGCCCTAACCCAGGTGACTTTCGAATCGACTCAAGAAGTTACCTTGATTCATAGTCTCCCGTGCCATATGCCAGCATCGATAGGAAGCTCTGAAAGCTGCCAAGCGCACAAAGCTAGCCCTAACCTGCTTTTCCCCTTCCCCATCTGCTGTTCCCGACCCCCATCTGCTGTTCGTTCCCCCAGCTGCTGTTCCCCCCCCCAGGTCTGCTGTTCCCCTCCCCCCATCTGCTGTCCCCTTTCCCCCATCTGCTGTCCACCTTCCCCCACCTGCTGTCCGCCTCCTTTCCTTGCTGTCCGCACTTATTCACCCCCCACACCTCCAGCCCGCCTTCCCCCTCTTGCTGTCCGCCACACCCTAGCCCCACCCACGCCCCACCCCTCTGCACACCTGCTATCTGCGAGCAGCCAGTGGAAGTCCGCCTTCAAATTCTCCATGGCCCGCGCGATCAGGTACCGCCCGGGCTCCCCCCATGCCACCCACCCCCAACCTGCTGTCCGCCATTCCTCACCCCACAACCCCCACCCCACCCCGCACTCCACCCCTCCGCACACCTGCTATCCGCGAGGAGCCAGTGGAAGTCCGCCTTGACACTCCTCATGGCCTGCGCGATCAGGTACCGCACGACTATGAAGGCCCCCCTACCAACCCACCCCACCGCTGCCCACCGTTCGTCACCCCACAGCCCCCACCCCAATCCGCACTCCACCCCTCTGCACACCTGCTATCCGCGAGCAGCCCGTGGAAGTCCGCCTTGACATTCTCCATGGCCCTCATGATCAGGTACCGCCCGTTGCGCAGCTCCTCCTCAATGAACCGCACTGCACCGTTCAGCCGATCCACAGCGTCCAAATACGTGTAGTACGCGTCGCTGTTGCGATCTGGACCGTCCATTATGACATCCCTGACCTGGAGCAGCAGTGTGGGCCGTATCAGTGAAGGAGGGAAAGATGACGGCCAGGAAAACTGGGAAAGGCAGAACTGACGGACAGAGGTAATAAACTACCAGCTAAAACATGATTGAAACGAAACCGAGAAACGGCATGAATATTACTGAAGACCCGGGTGCGTTTTGAGTGTACTGGAAGGGCGTTGATGCCATTGACTTGACCTTAACACCACCGACTCTCAAAGGGGGCCATCGTGCATGGTTCTTGACTGCTGTTTCAACCTGAGACCATTTCTGAGTCGACTCAAAAGAGGTGACTTTTGAGTCGACTCAAAAGTCATCTCAAATGGGGCCATCGTGCATGGTTCTTGACTGCTGTTTCAACCTGAGACCATCTGAGTGAACGGATCTCAACATAACACCTGGTTGGGAACCTCTATACGCGATAAAGGAACTGGAGGCTCTCCCTTCCATGAGACATTGCAACATCTACGCATGGTCAGCAACCTCGTGACTGAATGAAATTCGTTTCTTAATCGTAAATGCGAATTACCTGGTTGGGGACCTCGATATGTGTTAGGAGAGCGGCAGGGTCTGATAGGCGAATGCCGGGACTCGGCAGTCCCTGCTCTGCCGCCATGTCGAACAACGCGGCGTGATATTAGCGAGTATGAGGGATTGGTTTGCGAGCTTGTAACGCGTATTAAGTCAAAGTAGCTCTATCCTCGTTAAAAAGGTCCATTGACGGTTGCCGAGAGTAAATGATACCCTAACGACTAAAGGAGTCGACGGTTACTACAATGTAACGACTGCAAGCCCAGGAGCTCTCGAGATGGTTACACGCCGTAGGGAAACGAAAATATATAAAGGGCTGAGAGAGTGACAAGAAGACGCAGGCAGTATGCGCTTTACTCTCGGACTATCGAGACCGCTAGGTGAAAAGGTCTGAAAACGCACGCGAAGAAATGAACGTTATTATAAAGCGCGTCCAGTGATCAGCAGCGACTAGCAAGAAAAATGGCGACAAGTCAAGGCATCAGGGACTCAGCGCTCTGAAAGCGATATCTGTACTCTCAGGACCACATACGCAAGTGACGGCATTGCGAAACCGTGAATATGCCTAAGTTAATTAGTTCTTGGACGAATTATTTATCAGCAGGCCGTGGGAAAATAACGATGCGAGTGAAAGGCTCCCGGCGGATGCTTGTCTTATGTGAGAACTAAGCAGAAGACTGGAGAAAGGCTGCTAGGCTGGTTAGTGCTGCCAACGGGATACCCGTGAAAATGCCTTGGGATTACCTTCGGACTCGTGAAAGCAGTTTTTCAGAAGAGCGATACTGTGGGAAAGGAAAACCACATTGAGTGCTGATGACTACATTCCAATACTTTTGTCCGTTACAAAAATACAGACATATCTTTTTTTGCTTATATGAGCTATTGTTACGGGTGCAATGAATCGAGGTAGCGAGGATTGCACTAAGTGTCAAACGAGTACAAAATGTGAGCAAAGGCATGCGCGAACATTTATACGCGAAACATGCAAACGGTAACGCGGTGCATGCGAGCTAGTTGGTACTACGCTGGCAGTGAGATTCGGGCTAGTCCCGAAGCGTAGGCCGACACGGCCGGGCCAGCAGTGTGAGGTTTGGTGAAACAGTGCGCGCGAAGTCGGCGAAGCCCCGTTAGCAGTAACGGGCGAACAACGGCTGCTGCTGTACGCGATGTTGCTGGATGCGCTAAGGAATATCGAGAAAATTCCTTACACTACCCCCCCCCCCCCCCCCCTTCAAGAAGCCCCCTCCGCTACGCGAGTGCGTGTATATCGCGGAAACCCCGGCTCCTCAGGTACACTTGCAGGGCAGGGTGGTTTTCGATGTTGGTCAGGGGCACCCAGTTATCCTCAGTTGGCGTGCGGTCCTTCCAGCGAACGAGGAACTCGATCCTTCTGATTCCCGTGGGGTGTCGAATCCGATGGCTCCGATTTTTTTCGGGCTCGATGACCGGCTCCGATGTAGGGCGAGTCATGGATGGCGGGCGGTGACGCGGCAGTTGGCTCGTGGTAGGGATGTATGGGCGAAGCAGGCTGACGTGGAATGATGGGCTGATGTACCAGTCTGTCGGCAACAGTAAATAGGCGGTTACTGGGGTGATCATGTGGCTGATTTGGAAGGGTCCACAGTAGCGCGGTCGTAATTTCGATACGATGGGCAATCGTAAGTTCGGTACGTGACTGGGCGGTGGTGGCGGTCAGCGTTGCGCTTAGCGATGACATTTGCTTCTTTAATTGCTTCAGCGGCTCTGGTGCAGGCTGCTTGCAGAATCTCGGCGAATTGTTGTGCGCGTGGTGTCGGGTTGTCCGGACTCGGCGTCATGGGCACTGTAGGGTTTTGCTCGTCGCTGACGTGGCGTTGTTGTACGCGAACTCAATCAGCGGCAGCTGCTGCTCTCAAAATGTCGGGTCGTCGCACGTGGCACGAATCAGCTGCTTCATCGTCTGATTCGTCCGCTCCGTTAGACCGTCGGTCTCGGTGTGGTACGACGAGCTGAACTGTAGCCTGGTTCCGAACTGCTCCCAAAGGTTCTTCCAGAAGTTGCTGGTGAACTTCGTGTCGCGGTCGCTGATTATCGCGGCTGGTATCCCGTGCAGTCGAACGACGGCTGCGATGGACAGGCGAGCGGTTTCTTCGGCTGAGATCGATTTCTTGCACGCAGCGAAGTGTGCCATCTTCGTCAACCTGTCAAAGACGACCATAACCGCGTCGTTACCCCCAGGGTTCGAAGGTAACCCTATGACCAAATCCATGGTAACCTGCTGCCAGGCGAGCTCGGGCGGTAGAATCCGCTGCAACTGACCCGCCTTTCTTTTTCGCGACCTCTTCATCACCTGACACGTAGGCCGCGAGCTCACGTGGTGCTGTACGTTGGTCAACAGCTCCGGCCAGTAGTAATACCGCTGCACTGGAAATATGGTCTACACAAACCAACAGCCCAAAGGCATATGTAGGAAACACGTTACTTCCTTATCCAACTGATAACCTCCAGCATGGCTGGGGAGTGCTCTATGCTAAAAAAATGTGAGGGGTCTATGGGGGGCGAAAGGGGTCTCCGAGAAGCCATGAAGAGCGAAGATCTGGGTGGATAGATGGGTTGCCGTCAGGATAAAAAAACAAGGAGACATAATCGGGTGGCCAGCTTAAGACGAGTGGCTGAGCGTTGTTATTTCTTAACTGATTGTTTCTTCCTCCTCCACAAGAAGATTTTGAAAGCTAGGAGGAACTAAGGCAGGATGAGTTGGAGAATTTCGAGACGGGAGGAGGGTGAGTCGTGGAATTTATGGTCGCAGCGCGCATTCCAAATGGCCTTTGCCGAGGCACCAACCAAAAGACTCAAGGGGGCGACCTGGCCAGCTCTCGAAGCGAGCGGAAAGAGCAAGAGCTAAGGAGGAGGAAAGCAGTGGAGTGTCAGAACATATATATAGCTTATGCTGTTGTGTAGGCTATAGTGGGGTATCCCATAGGGGGTACAACCCAATTAGGGTTTCCCATATGTACTCACTTCATTCATAGTTCATTCATTCTCGTTCTACTTTTCTCATGGTATCGAGCAGGTTCCCTCGTGGGAACTGTTCCTAGGGCCCACCGTTTTTTTTTCCTGCCCGGAGCGCACTCTGCCCCTACCCGAGTCGCGCTCCCCTCTCTCTTGGCCCCTAGTGGCCCCTTTAGCCGCCCGTCACGGCCCTTAGACGCCCGCGCGCCGCCCGTCCCGGCCCCTTAGACGCCCGCGCGCCGCCCGTCCCGGCCCCTAGACGCCAGTGCGCCACCCGGCCCGGCCCCTAGACGCCCGCGCGCCGCCCGTCCCGGCCCCTAGACGCCCGCGCGCCGCCCGTCCCGGCCCCTAGACGCCCGCGCGCCGCCCGTCCCGGCCCCTCGACGCCCGCGCGCCGCCCGTCCCGGCCCCTCGACGCCCGCGCGCCGCCCGTCCCGGCCCCTCGCCGCCCGTGAGCCGCCCGTCCCGGCCCCTAGACGCCCGCGCGCCGCCCGTCCCGGCCCCTAGACGCCCGCGCGCCGCCCGTCCCGGCCCCTCGACGCCCACGCGCCGCCCGTCCCGGCCCCTAGACGCCCGCGCGCCACCCGGCCCGCCCCTAGACGCCCGCGCGCCGCCCGTCCCGGCCCCTCGACGCCCGCGCGCCGCCCGTCCCGGCCCCTCGACGCCCGCGCGCCGCCCGTCCCGGCCCCACGCCGCCCTACCTGCGGCCTACTCGCCGCCCTACCTGCGGCTCGCCCGCCGCCCTAACTGCGGCCCGCCCGCCGCCCTACTTGCGGCCCTACCGCCGCCCTGCCTGCGGCCCGCCCGCCACCCTACCTGCGGCCAGCCCGCTGCCCTACCTACGGCCCGACCGCCGCCCTACCTGCGGCCCAACCGCCGCCCTACCTGCGGGAGCCGCCTAGCAGCAGAACTGCCGGGAGCCGAGCCGCCCTGCCGCCGAGCCGCCCGGGAGCCGAGCCGCCCTGCCGCCGAGCCGCCCGGGAGCCGAGCCGCCCTGCCGCCGAGCCGCCCGGGAGCCGAGCCGCCCTGCCGCCGAGCCGCCCGGGCGCCGAGCCGCACTGCCGCCGAGCCGCTGAGCAGCCGAGCCGCCCTACTGCCGGGCCGCCCGACCTGCCCTGTCCGGTGAGCACAGCCCCACTGTCACTGCGTGCCCTTCCCCTACTGCTTGCACTGCTCGTCTGTCGTCGTCATGGCTACCCCTAGTGTCCTCGCTTTTGACGCTGAGGGTCGAGCCATTGACTTTGAGGTCTGGGTCGACGACCTGCAGCTGTTCTTACAGTGCGATAGGGCGGACGGTCTTTCCCTCTTTGACCTCACCTCTGGCGCCTCTCCTGCCCCTGCTACTGATGCTGACCCCACTGTTCGCTCTCAGTGGGCCACCCGCGATGCTGCTGCACGTCTTGCTGTACGTCGCCACCTGCCTACCACTGAGCGCGCGCACTTTAGTCAGTACAAGAGTGCTCAGACCTTGTAC